AATCAAATGTTCGAGTGCGTTTGATTGGTAGGAGATACAAAGATGCTAGGCGATATAACTTGCCTACGAGTTCAGAAGTTGCTATACTGGTTGTTGGTGATTTTGACCAGGCATTGGGTGAAAGGGACATCTTGGTAGAAACTATGAGTGGTCGTCTTCAACGGATTAATGAACTAAATGCTTCATACTTGGCATTACAGTATCCTCTTTTGTTGCCTTATGGTGAGGATGGGTACAGAGAAGATATACCTTTTAGGGAAGGCACTCCAGTAAGACAAGATGGTCGAAAACATGTCAGTGTAAGGGAGTACTTTGCATATAGAATGCATGATCGAGAGCATGAACCTCCGACCATTGTTTCTTCTAGAAGACTATATCAACAATTTATTGTTGATGCTTATACCATGGTTGAATCTGCTAGGTTGCGATACATACGTCTTAATCAGAAGAAGCTCCGTTGTGATTTGTATAATGGTGTGGTTGAGGCCGTGCTTCGTGGCGACACCGATCCCAGTACCATAGGAAAGAGAATTATTCTTCCTTCAACATTCACTGGTGGTGCTCGGAATATGATTGAAAACTATCAAGATGCAATGGCAATTTGTAGATGGGCTGGGTATCCCGATTTGTTTATTACATTCACCTGCAATCCCAAATGGCCAGAAATTGTTCGTTATCTCGAGCCGAAAAAATTGCGAGCTGAGGATCGGCCAGATATCGTGTGCAGGGTATTTCGAGCTAAACTTAAGGAATTGATTAGGGATTTCTGTCAAAAGCAAATATTTGGGAAGGTAATAGCAGGTGAGAAATTTAATATTCTACGTAATTATTATAGTCATTTATTAATCATCTACACAATATATATTTATCTTATGCTCAAATTATAAATTTTCATTTGTAATTATAACTAAATTCTATTTCCTTTCTCTATTTTTTTAAAACTTTTTTGCAGTTATCTACACGATCGAGTTTCAAAAACGTGGATTACCGCATGCTCATATATTGTTATTCCTTTCAAAAGAGTCGAAGTTTCCCAACCCATCGGACATAGACCGAGTTATATC